GCTTGCCAAGGATTTACTTATCTTCGATAAAAATGGCTCAAACAGGTAAGATTTATCACGAATTTTTTAAAGTGGAAGTCAGTCGACTGCTGAACACAAATCATTAATAGTTGACAAGTACTAGTAAACAGAGGAGCTAAGATTTAGAATCTGTGGTGTTTAGATACGTGATTTGTAATAGATGGAAAATGTATCCCGTCTCTTTTCTCGAGAGCCGAAAACGGAAAACGTAATAGTTTAGAAGAAAGGCTTAACATGTAACACAGCATCGAAAACTAGCTGAAAGAGAAAGATAAAGTTCAGAGAAAAAAAATGATAAAAACCAAAGAGAAAAAAATACTGAGTGTAAAGAATATGCCTTTCTTGAATTGTAAACGCCTTTATGATGAGTGGAAAGAATTTTACAAGGACTACTGATAATCTTAATACAAGCTGTTTAACGGGAAACCATAGCATTTAGTAAGATGAGCAACGACACTCGTATGTAAGTATAACGTTCCGGAATACGGTTCTACACATTAGTATCGACGAAAGTAAGAAAGGCGAATATGTCACATACTGAGTATGTTACTCATTGGCGTGACTGAAAAAAGCAAACGAGTCACATAGCAAGGTCACAAGTCACTAACTTATGAGTTAATCATTCATAAATGTGACGAGTGGTTCGAATTTAAATGAAACAACAGAAAAATGAGGAGAATATTGGTTCACAAAGGACAAAAGACTTCCAACGAGTCACGAAAGAAGGGAACAGGTGACTCAAACTGTCCTGATGTTAATTCTTGTCATAAATAATATTCCTTTTGTTGTAGGCCTTTTGATATGTGTGCGATCCTCTTCACTGCGAACATTTCATGTATTTCACGTATTTTCAAGAATTCCACAGGTTGTCTGTGGTGATATCACAGATAAACCAGTGTATTTAGTAACAGCTATTGTTTATATATATATGTATTTGCATATGTGATATTTATTTGGTTTTAATATTCAAGACTTGAGCGTATCCTTAACAGATAATTGTCATCTTTCTTTATGTATCCAGCTCCTGCTGGTTATCCAACTACATCCGGGAATGCTAGTTTACCACCCGCACCGCCACAAACAGGTACGTCGTTCTGTTAAGGCAATAAGGCAGGTGAAATAAGTTGTTATTTTACGTAAATAGACGTAATCAGATTAACCCGCGTTCTAACATACAGAGAAGTTACGTTTATGTGTGAGAATTGTTTTGTTTGAGACCTGCCGCTCCGTATACATTACCGGCTTACCTAAGAGGCCAGCTGCCCACGGGAGGACAGCCAACATTTGGTAATAACATTGTATTTACTGCGATTTAGACATACGTTTTAATAAAAATAGGATGTCATGCAGTAATTTGCATATCAAGCTTTAAGAATATCTTTACTGGCCTTAAATAAAAACGTCATTTCAATTTATTTCAGGGCATGTAAAACCTCAATATCCTGGTCAAATTGCTCCACAACAGCCTGGTATGTAGTGCACGTTTTCTGCCACGTCATACGATAGCGTAGAACGTAAGATACATTTTCTGTCACGTCAAATAACAGCCAGTAATTGTTACACATCTTCTTTTACATCACACGACAGCCAAGTACGTAAATACACATCTTCTGTCACGTTACACAACACAGGTTTATAATATTTATCTGTCACGTCCAACAAATGTTATGTGCGCAATATTAATTTTCTGACACGTCACACAATCGCCATTGAACACAATACAAATTTTCTATGATGTCATAACAGCCCTGTACATCATACAAATCATTTGTTATGTCACACAACAGCCCAGTACGTAATACTGATCTTTGTCACGACAAACAACAGTCCAGTGTCTCCGATAAACATGAAATCACATTCGTCTTGATAATGATTATGTAAATGATTTTGTAAACAGGAGTCCAGTATGGATACCCTCCTGCAACCGTCGTTGTTACCCAACCAGGAATTGCGCCAATGGGGCCGGTAAGTTAACAAATCAAGAAGTGTGCCCAAGCCTTTGATAGTTACTCAAGCAGGAAGTGTGCCCAAAGTTCCGCAAGTTACCCAGAAAGGAAGTTTACCCAAGGTGCCGTAAGTTGCCCAGACAGGAAGTGTACCCAAGGTTCCGTAAGTTACCCAAGCAGGAAGTGTGCCCAAGGTTCCGTAAGTTACCCAGACAGGAAGTGTACCCAAGGTTCCGTAAGTTACCCAAGCAGGAAGTGTGTTCCCCAGGCAGGAAGTGTGCCCAAAGTCCGTAAGTTACCCGGACAGGAAGTGTGCTCACGGTTCCGTCCAGGAAGTGTGTCTAAGGTTCCGTAAGTTACCCGGCAGGAAGTGTGCTCCAAAAGGTAAGTTACTTAGACAGGAAGTGTGCCCAAGGTTCCGTAAGTTACTTAGGCAGGAAGTGTGCCCAAGGTTCCGTAAGTTACTTAGACAGGAAGTGTGCCCAAGGTTCCGTAAGTTACCCGGACAGGAAGTGTGCTCACGGTTCCGTCAGTTACTTAGACAGGAAGTGTGCCCAAGGTTCCGTAAGTTACTTAGACAGGAAGTGTGCCCAAGGTTCCGTAAGTTACTTAGGCAGGAAGTGTGCCCTTAGGCAGGAAGTGTGCCCAAGGTTCCGTAAGTTACCCAGGCAGGAAGTGTGCCCAAAGTTCCGTAAGTTACCCGGACAGGAAGTGTTCCCTAAGTTCCGTAAGTTACCCAGGCAGGAAGTGTGCCCAAAGTCCGTAAGTTACCCGGACAGGAAGTGTGCTCACGGTTCCGTCAGTTACTTAGGCAGGAAGTGTGTCCAAGGTTCCGTAAGTTACCCGGACAGGAAGTGTGCTCACGGTTCCGTCAGTTACTTAGGCAGGAAGTGTGCTCACGGTTCCGTCAGTTACTTAGACAGGAAGTGTGCCCATGGTTCCGTAAGTTACCCTTATATTCTCTGTGAAAACCTTCCAGATCTTAGGTAAGTTAGACACAATCGGCCCTACTTGAACAGACGTAAGTAAATCTCGGACAACCAAATTAAAAAGAACCGATCTCACAATGACTTCTTGTAACTTACCTTTATTTGAAAAAAATGACAACCAACCAGGCTACGTATCTAACAGTTTTCCTATGAATCATTTTACTGTAAAATATTTAAAAACTGCGTCGCAAGTTCTGATGTTTATAAGGTATTGGTCCTCGGAGTATAGGTTTAATAATTGAATTAATGTTCATTAATCAGGACACTACTCCCTTGTTTTAGCTATTGTTATATATATATATCTGTATTTTTTTTAAAATTTCAGACACAGCCTGCCCCAGCTTCCTATATGATCGCTTCCGTCATCGGATGCCTGTTTTGTCTCTGGCCTCTAGGTATCGGTGCAATTGTAGCCTCGTATAACGTAAGTAAAGACGGAACACCTCGGGATTTTTCCACATTTATATGCTGTTGTTCCATGTCCGTTGTTACGCAACAGGACACTTACTGACAGAACTTGTTTAAATTTAATGTAAGTCTTCATGTACATCTATTTTGGTTTTGACTTCTGTGGGGCTGTTTCGTTACGTCAAAGTAATCTATTTTCAGGTTCAATCTGCTGTTGCCCGTGGAGATATTTCATCAGCACAACGATCATCAAATGTAGCGAAGATTGTCAACATCGTCAATTTTGCAATCGGTTTTGTCATCATCCTGACTCTTGTCATTCTGTACACGAGTATCGCATCTCAATCCGTATACTACTGATGTCGCTAGATGTATCTCCAAACTTTCCAACGTTTGTACAAATGGTATATATATATATATCTAGATGTAAAGTGGTCATCTTTCATCCATATCTTATCTTCTGAAAGGCATGTTTCTTATACTGCCAGGTCAATCGAAGGACAAATTAGACCATAATATGTTACACAAGGAAAACCGGCTGGTCTGTAACGTCTAATATAAACAATCAACTACAGTTTTATATTTACAACAAAAACATATCTATATTTATAATAGACATTTATATACTTGATTACTTTTATTCTTATCAATATCTACTGTAGATATTATCTCCCTTTGATTCATCATCAACATGGAGTCCAGTAATACAGTTTGTGTTTCCGGCTCTATCAGGAGCAGATAACTTGTAGAGGGTTAAACAACAAAATTAATTTTAACTCCTCGTGAATTTGAACCACATGGACCGAATTTTGTCGATATTAGTTATGTTTGTCATTAGATGTGGTGTTATCTGTAAATATCTAGACAGTTGGAAACGTGTATCATTGTAGAATTGTCATCAAGTGCACAGTCTGTGATATGTACAAATTTGTATCAAGCGTCTTTCACGTATAGTTATGCTGCATCATAAATAAACTTTGTTTCTTTAGTATAATGTATGTAGGCACAGGGACATGTAAAAATATTTCTGTGGGGAGACTTTCTTTAATATAATGTATGTAGGCACAGGGACATGTGAAAATATTTCTGTGGGGAGACTTTCTTTAATATAATGTATGTAGGCACAGGGACATGTAAAGATATTTTTAGGGAGGGACTTTCTTTAGTATAATGTATGTAGGCACAGGGACACGTGAAAATATTTCTAGGGAGAGACTTTCTGTAGTATAATGTATGTAGGCACAGGGACATGTGAAAATATTTCTAGGGAGAGACTTTCTGTAGTATAATGTATGTAGACACAGGGACATGTGAAAATATTTCTAGGGAGAGACTTTCTGTAGTATAATGTATGTAGACACAGGGACATGTAAAAATATTTCTGTGGGGAGACTTTCTTAAGTATAATGTGTCACGCAAGCACCTATGTCGTTGATAATACATATTAGATTTATTGTCTACATGTCTCTTGTTTTATCATCATTACCGGGTTAAGTAACCTTAATAGTTAGGCACGGGTGTTGGGCGGAAATACGTCACGGGTAGACGTGCACGAGGTGAGCTGTTTATGATAACAGAGGGGTTACGTTAGCAGTCTTCTGGGGAAAACACAGATATGAGAGATTGATGGAGGGGAGTGCTTAAGGGATTTCATAAAATATCAACAGATCAGTAATGGAGGATTCACAAGGTCAGGGTCAATGGCTTTAGAACAGTCAAGATTTAGCACCTGTAACATCTGTAGCAGTTAAAAGGAACTGAGAATGTTTGAAAGGACAGCGTTACAATCATAAACAGATGGCTGAAAACAGAAAAAAATAAGTACGCAAGGTTTCCAAAACAATCTGAAACTAACATTGTCATTGTGTAGCAGTGATGGTATACAAGAATTTTTTTTTTATAATTTGTTAATAGCAAGTGTACAGTTTTCAACTCCTTCATATCAGAGGATGTCGTCAGATGATTCTCAATATCTTACTGTCTTTGTTCATTTAAAACAAGCCAGTCTTTCATTAATTATGTACCAAATAAAAACCCGCAAAACTATTTACAAAAAGAATTTAGATATTTGGAAATAAGAAACAATATCGGGAACCTCGCAACTTCAATTTTGCCAGCGCCATGAAATGCAAAAGGTGGATTCCCTACCACGAAAGCATGGCCATTTATTATGTATAATCCTTGGTGACAGTAACTATACAAAAAGACGATTTTGATAAACAAACATGACAATCGTCACTTGTCGAAATAAAACAAAAACATTCAGTCATTGTTTCGTCTTTGTATTTACATTCAGTTTCAAAATCAAACAAGCTAATTCCATGTACTAAGTGAAAACTACATGAGGAATGAGAGAAGTTTTTGTTTCTCAATAAATAATAGTAAACCAGTATTATAAATACATCAAATGAATTTTAAAGGTCTCTGAATGTCATTTACCGATCAGTATTAAAGTAATACGCCATACAGGAAACTGCACTTTCTCGGAAATCATCACATTCCAATGAAATAAAAGTTGTTTGTCAGGGCTTCGTGTTCATTGGACAAAGAGGAACTCATATGTGAAATAAACAGACCTATGAGATATACTTTTATAGAAAACAAATAGGCATTACAATACAGTCGAGGTGACGTTAATTAAGGTATTTCATGTTTCTCAGAAAGCTGAAAAAATGGAGTGTTCTGTGCTATCGTAGATGTGTCTTATGTGTTCTTGGGCACGAGTGTTTTGACGGTATTTAACGAACTTCCGGTTGACGTATGTTGTTTACTGATGTAACGAATGACTAAACGGTAGGGACAACCGGCCTGAAAATGGCAATGACTTCTGATAAACAAAACAAACAAACAAAATCTAAAGTGACTATCTTTTCCTAATAACCATAGACGTACACATAAACGGCATTAGAGAATGGCAAAACATGTAACAGGGAATTAAAGGGACAGTATCCAGCTGGAAAGCAACATCCTTCTCACAATACTTTAATATTCAATGGCTCGATACCGTGTACGTACTACATTAATAATTACGTCACGTGACCGATAAACATTCTATGACGTCATAATATGTTCATCATCACGCGTGATTTCCAAACCATTGTCCCTGTTGCTACCGACAGAGGAGGTGAGCTGTATAGAGGAAAACAAACCTGATTTCTATCGATCGTATGTACATACCTTCTTGATTAAGGAATGATTACAGGTAAGCATCGTCAAACTTCTCCAGTTTAAATGTATAAAATTATTGGGAATATACGTCAGGTGGTCTGCCGATCGGTACCCACAGGTCTAGGATACGGAGGTTCTGGGTTCGAATCACAATCATCATCTGGTCTGTATTCCCCTTGACTTGTCATTCAATAAATAACTGAACGAAAATTATACCGATACATATGACTACAACCTTTGTGCATGTGGAATATATCGGTCCATAATACTTGAAAGATTATTTGGGTTTTTCTCAGTAAAACACAAAAAATGGAAATATCTATATACATATCCACGTTTTCTCAAACGTTTCATATCTTGTTTGAACGATTTCTCGGGGTGATAGAGTAAGTGTCAATCACTGAAGGTGCAAATCATTTGTAGACCCGTCCAGGAGCATGTTTGTCGATCAAAAAAAAATTAAATAAATAAAGATTGATGGTGTTTTGATTCGTACCGAATCGCATCCGCACCACCATTATAGCCTCACCATACTGACAATAAATTAGGATATCCCGCTCCACCATTACAGCCTCACCATACTGACAATAAATTAGGATATCCCGCTCCACAATTACAGCCTCACCATACTGACAATAAATTTGGATATCCCGCTCCACCATTACAGCCTCACCATACTGACAATAAATTAGGATATCCCGCTCCACCATTACAGCCTCACCATACTGACAATAAATTAGGATATCCCGCTCCACCATTACAGCCTCACCATACTGACAATAAATTAGGATATCCCGCTCCACCATTACAGCCTCACCATACTGACAATAAATTAGGATATCCCGCTCCACCATTATAGCCTCACCATACTGACAATAAATTAGGATATCCCGCTCCACCATTACAGCCTCACCATACTGACAATAAATTAGGATATCCCGCTCCACAATTACAGCCTCACCATACTGACAATAAATTTGGATATCCCGCTCCACCATTACAGCCTCACCATACTGACAATAAATTAGGATATCCCGCACCACCATTACAGCCTCACCATACTGACAATAAATTAGGATATCCCGCTCCACCATTACAGCCTCACCATACTGACAATAAATTAGGATATCCCGCTCCACAATTACAGCCTCACCATACTGACAATAAATTAGGATATCCCGCTCCACCATTACAGCCTCACCATACTGACAATAAATTAGGATATCCCGCTCCACCATTATAGCCTCACCATACTGACAATAAATTAGGATATCCCGCTCCACCATTACAGCCTCAATATTCTGATGATTAATTAAGATACCAGCTCCATCGACACAGCCATTGATCGGTATTGATAAAATGGCGATATCAACAATATCTTATGATAATATTACAGATTATATAATGGACGAAAAAGGACTTCGAGAAATCGCAAAAAGTTTTGTCAACAGCGTTATACAAAAAGCCGTGGACAAAGTTCGGACGGAAAGAGAAAAAATGGCGGAAATGACGGATAATTTGGATCAGGATGTGGTAAATATAGTTGGTAAGGCTATCGGACGATCTGTTACGGCCATTCGTGAGGGACAAATATCACCAACTGACCGGAAAGTGGCTGAAATGATGGGTCAGCTGGATCATGATGTGGACAATATTGTTGGTAAGGCCATCGGACGATCTGTTACGGCCATTCGTGAGGGACAAATATCACCAACTGACCGGAAAATGACTGATATGTTGGATCAGGATGTGGACAATATAGTTGGTAAGGCTATCGGACGATCTGTTACGGCCATTCGTGAGGGACAAATATCACCAACTGACCGGAAAGTGGCTGAAATGATGGGTCAGCTGGATCATGATGTGGACAATATTGTTGGTAAGGCCATCGGACGATCTGTTCGGGCCATTCGTGAGGGACAAATATCACCAACTGACCGGAAAATGACTGATATGTTGGATCAGGATGTGGACAATATAGTTGGTAAGGCCATCGGACGATCTGTTTCGGCCATTCGTGAGGGACAAATATCGCCAACTGACCGGAAAGTGGCTGAAATGTTGGATCAGGATGTGGACAATATAGTTGGTAAGGCCATCGGACGATCTGTTTCGGCCATTCGTGAGGGACAGACATCACCAACTGACCGGAAAGTGGCTGAAATGTTGGATCAGGATGTAGACAATATAGTTGGTAAGGCCATCGGACGATCTGTCACGGCCATTCGTGAGGGACAGACATCACCAACTGACCACAGGATAAGATGCAGTAAGGAAATACCTATAACGAATGGAACCGGAAATGATGTACAAACACAAAAGGTCAAACAGACCTTCACAACAGATATAGGTACATATACAAATATATCCAATTCTGTCTATTGATGTGTGGTTAAATCTTTACATCTTTATCAAACAAATTGTTGATCCTTAACATCTCATTTACCGTTATTCAACGATAATGGAAAATATGGAATGATACCTGTAACTTATGTCGATATTATCAAATTTTAATAATTAAATTCCAACACTTAAAGAAAATTAATCTGTTACATGTCTTGTATGACTTACGAATTTGAACAAATAATGTAGATTTGTGCGGAAATTTTGTTCTCAGATCAAAAGATGAAGAATCCGACAATCGTGGCTTCACTTCAGAACAAGGTCTCTGGTAAAGGAAAGAAAAACATGTTGGAACGCTATCTGGATAGAATACTCGGAGTAAGTGTTTTTGTTCTGGAGATAATTCCGTGTGACAGAAATCTAAGAATATTGAAATTGAACGCCGAAATGCTTATACTGATTAATTTTACTTGTTTTCGTATTTCAGAGAGATAAGCAAAAACCAAAGAAGGAAAACACAGGTAAGCACACGTTTCGTGATATTTATATTTTAATCAAAACAAATTTATATTAAGAAAGAAAATAATGAAAAAAACCCACCTCTCGCCCCCGAATCCCCGTAAAAATGACATTCATTTACGCCGTACATCACGTGGGGTTATCATTATCTACCTGGGTATTAAGCTATGGATTTTTACCTTAAACAGAATTGAACGACAGCGCCCCTAGTGGAGGAAGTAAGAAACGTTCATCAAAGGCCCATAACAAACGAGACTGGATACTGAAGCACATTCTGTGTTGTTTTGTCCAACAGACGGCGACAGTGGAGCCTGCAAACCACTAAACGTTCAATTGTTCTGGAATCAACACAGTTTAGATCATTTAACAAGTTTACATACGAAAGGCCATAAGATGCTGGAGGGAACTTTTACCTGTATGTGACAAGTCCTTATTAGTTTTATCATTATTACATGCTGTTAATGCTGCTGTTGTATATCTGTACACGGAATACTTTCAGACCTAGGTTTTAAGAAATAAAGGAAACAGATATCCATTTTTTTGTCTTTTGATTTTTTTTCGTAACATTGATTTCCTCGTGCCTGATTATGATAAACCATGGTTACATGTCCCGAAAGCTCTGTTGACATTTGTCTTGACATGATGACATTACTGACCTGTTGGGTCTTACCCCGGGTGTTACAACCAGTGCCCCCGCTCTGTAACTATGTTAACATCTGTTGACACATGGACATTCCTGACCCGTGGGGTATTACATCGAGTGTTACACAAAGTATCCCCGCCTTGTAACTATGTTTTGCATCTGTTGGCTCGTGGACATTCCTGACCTGTTGGGTCTGACCCCGGGTGTTACAACAAGTGTCCCCGCTCTGTAACTATGTTAGCATCTGTTGACACATGGACATTCCTGTCCTGTTTTGTCTTACCCGGGTGTTACGACAAGTATCCCTGCTCTGTAACTATGTTAACATCTGTTGACACATGGACATTACTGACCTGTTGGGTCTTACCCCGGGTGTTACAACAAGTGTCCCCGCTCTGTAACTATGTTAACATCTATTGACAGGTGGACATTACTGACCTGTTGGGTCTTACCCCGGGAGTTAAAACATGTGTCCCCGCTCTGTAAATATGTTTACATCTGTTGACACATGGACATTACTGACCTGTTGGGTCTTACCCCGGGTGTTACAACAAGTGTTCCCGCTCTGTAAATATGTTTACATCTATTGTCACGTGGACATTACTGACCTGTTGGGTCTTACCCCGGGAGTTACAACAAGTGTCCCCGCTCTGTAAATATGTTTACATCTGTTGACACGTGGACATTACTGACCTGTTGGGTCTTACCCCGGGAGTTAAAACATGTGTCCCCGCTCTGTAAATATGTTTACATCTGTTGACACATGGACATTACTGACCTGTTGGGTCTTACCCCGGGTGTTACAACAAGTGTCCCCGCTCTGTAAATATGTTTACATCTATTGTCACGTGGACATTACTGACCTGTTGGGTCTTACCCCGGGTGTTACAACAAGTGTCCCCGCTCTGTAAATATGTTTACATCTATTGCCACGTGGACATTACTGACCTGTTGGGTCTTACACCGGGAGTTAAAACAAGTGTCCCCGCTCTGTAAATATGTTTACATCTGTTGACACATGGACATTACTGACCTGTTGGGTCTTACCCCGGGTGTTACAACAAGTGTCCCCGCTCTGTAACTATGTTAACATCTGTTGACACATGGACATTCCTGTCCTGTTTTGTCTTACCCGGGTTTGACAACAAGTGCCCCCGCTCTGTAACTATGTTTACATCTGTTGTCATGTGGACATTACTGACCTGTTGGATCTTACCCCGGGAGTTACAACAAGTGTCCCCGCTCTGTAAATATGTTTACATCTGTCTACACATGGACATTGCTGACCTGTTGGGTCTTACCCCGGGAGTTACAACAAGTGGTCCCGCTCTGTAACTATGTTAACATCTATTGACAGGTGGACATTACTGAACCGTTGGGTCTTACCCCGGGTGTTACAACAAGTGTCCCCGCTCTGTAACTATGTTAACATCTATTGACACATGGACATTACTGACCTGTTGGGTCTTACCCCGGGTGTTACAACCAGTGCCCCCGCTCTGTAACTATGTTAACATCTGTTGACACATCGACATTCCTGACCTGTGGGGTATTACATCGGGTGTTACACAAAGTATCCCCGCTCTGTAACTATGTTTACATCTGTTGGCTCGTGGACATTCCTGACCTGTTGGGTCTTACCCCGAGTTTGACAACAAGTGCCCCTGCTCTGTAACTATGTTTACATCTGTTGTCATGTGGACATTCCTGACCTGCTGGGTCTTACCCCGGGTGTTACAACAAGTATCCCCGCTCTGTAACTATATTTACATCTATTAACACGTGGACATTAATGACCTGGGAGACAGTTCCATTTTGATACAGATACTAGTAGTCAGGGGAACCCCAGCAGGTTAAGAAAAATAGACCTACGAGTTATACATTTAAAGAAAAAAATTGCCATTACAATACAGTCGAAGTGACGTTAATAAAGGTAGTTCGTGTTTTTCAGAAAGCTGAATAATTGGAGTGTTCTGTGCTATCGTAGATATGTCTTATGTGTTCTTGGGCACGAGTGCTTTGACGGTATTTAACGAACTTCCGGTTGACGTATGTTGTTTACTGATGTAACGAATGACTAAACGGTAAGGATAACCGGCCTGAAAATGGCAATGACTTCTGATTAACAAAAGAAACAAACAAAATCTAAAGTGGCTATCTTTTCCTTATAACCATAGACGTACACATAAACGGCAATAGAGAATGGCAAAACGTGTACCAGGGAATTAAAGGGACAGTATCCAGCTGGGAAACAACATCCTTCTCACAATACTTTAACATTCAATGGCTCGATTCCGTGTACGTACTACATTGATAATTACGTCACGTGACCGATAAACATTCTATGACGTCATAATATGGTCATCATCACGCGTGATTTCCAACCCATTGTTCCTGTTGCTACTGACAGAGGTGAGCTGTATAGAGGAAAACAAACCTGATTTCTATCGATCGTATGTACATACCTTCTTGTTTAAGGAATGATTACAGGTAAGCATCGTCAAACTTCTCCAGTTTAAATGTATAAAATTATTGGGAATATACGTCAGGTGATCTGGCGATCGGTACCCACAGGTCTAGGATACGGAGGTTCTGGGTTCGAATCACAATCATCATCTGGTCTGTATTCCCCTTGACTTGTCATTCAATAAATAACTGAACGAAAATTATACCGATACATATGACTACAACCTTTGTGCATGTGGAATATATCGGTCCATAATACTTGAAAGATTATTTGGGTTTTTCTCAGTAAAACACAAAAAATGGAAATATCTATATACATATCCACGTTTTCTCAAACGTTTCATATCTTGTTTGAACGATTTCTCAGGGTGATAGAGTAAGTGTCAATCACTGAAGGTGCAAATCATTTGTAGACCCGTCCAGGAGCATGTTTGTCGATCAAAAAAAATAAATAAATAAAGATTGATGGTGTTTCGCACCACCATTATAGCGTCACCATACTGACAATAAATTAGGATATCCCGCTCCACCATTACAGCCTCACCATACTGACAATAAATTAGGATATCCATTACAGCCTCACCATACTGACAATAAATTAGGATTACAGCCTCACCATACTGACAATAAATTAGGATATCCCGCTCCACCATTACAGCCTCAGTGTTCTAATGATTAATTAAGATACCAGCTCCATCGACACAGCCATTGATCGGTATTGATAAAATGGCGATATCAACAATATCTTATGATAATATTACAGATTATATAATGGACGAAAAAGGACTTCGAGAAATCGCAAAAAGTTTTGTCAACAGCGTTATACAAAAAGCCGTGGACAAAGTTCGGACGGAAAGAGAAAAAATGGCGGAAATGACGGATAATTTGGATCAGGATGTGGTAAATATAGTTGGTAAGGCTATCGGACGATCTGTTACGGCCATTCGTGAGGGACAAATATCACCAACTGACCGGAAAGTGGCTGAAATGATGGGTCAGCTGGATCATGATGTGGACAATATTGTTGGTAAGGCCATCGGACGATCTGTTAGGGCCATTCGTGAGGGAAAAATATCACCAACTGACCGGAAAATGACTGATATGTTGGATCAGGATGTGGACAATATAGTTGGTAAGGCTATCGGACGATCTGTTACGGCCATTCGTGAGGGACAAATATCACCAACTGACCGGAAAGTGGCTGAAATGATGGGTCAGCTGGATCATGATGTGGACAATATTGTTGGTAAGGCCATCGGACGATCTGTTAGGGCCATTCGTGAGGGACAAATATCACCAACTGACCGGAAAATGACTGATATGTTGGATCAGGATGTGGACAATATAGTTGGTAAGGCCATCGGACGATCTGTTACGGCCATTCGTGAGGGACATATATCGCCAACTGACCGGAAAGTGGCTGAAATGTTGGATCAGGATGTGGACAATATAGTTGGTAAGGCCATCGGACGATCTGTTACGGCCATTCGTGAGGGACAAATATCGCCAACTGACCGGAAAGTGGCTGAAATGTTGGATCAGGATGTGGACAATATAGTTGGTAAGGCCATCGGACGATCTGTTACGGCCATTCGTGAGGGACAAATATCGCCAACTGACCGGAAAGTGGCTGAAATGTTGGATCAGGATGTGGACAATATAGTTGGTAAGGCCATCGGACGATCTGTTACGGCCATTCGTGAGGGACAGACATCACCAACTGACCACAGGATAAGATGCAGTAAGGAAATACCTATAACGAATGGAACCGGAAATGATGTACAAACACAAAAGGTCAAACAGACCTTCACAACAGATATAGGTACATATACAAATATATCCAATTCTGTCTATTGATGTGTGGTTAAATCTTTACATCTTTATCAAACAAATTGTTGATCCTTAACATCTCATTTACCGTTATTCAACGATAATGGAAAATATGGAATGATACCTGTAACTTATGTCGATATTATCAAATTTTAATAATTAAATTCCAACACTTAAAGAAAATTAATCTGTTACATATCTTGTATGACGAATTTGAACAAATAATGTAGATTTGTGCGGAAATTTTGTTCTCAGATCACAAGATGAAGAATCCGACAATCGTGGCTTCACTTCAGAACAAGGTCCTTGGTAAAGGAAAGAAAAACATGTTGGAACGCTATCTGGATAGAATACTCGGAGTAAGTGTTTTTGTTCTGGAGATAATTCCGTGTGACAGAAATCTAAGAATATTGAAATTGAACGCCGAAATGCTTATACTGATTAATTTTACTTGTTTTCGTATTTCAGAGAGATAAGCAAAAACCAAAGAAGGAAAACACAGGTAAGCACACGTTTCGTGATATTTATATTTTAATCAAAACAAATTTATATTAAGAAAGAAAATAATGAAAAAAACCCACCTCTCGCCCCCGAATCCCCGTAAAAATGACATTCATTTACGCCGTACATCACGTGGGGTTATCATTATCTACCTGGGTATTAAGCTATGGATTTTTACCTTAAACAGAATTGAACGACAGCGCCCCTAGTGGAGGAAGTAAGAAACGTTCATCAAAGGCCCATAACAAACGAGACTGGATACTGAAGCACATTCTGTGTTGTTTTGTCCAACAGACGGCGACAGTGGAGCCTGCAAACCACTAAACGTTCAATTGTTCTGGAATCAACACAGTTTAGATCATTTAACAAGTTTACATACGAAAGGCCATAAGATGCTGGAGGGAACTTTTACCTGTATGTGACAAGTCCTTATTAGTTTTATCATTATTACATGCTGTTAATGCTGCTGTTGTATATCTGTACACAGAATACTTTCAGACCTAGGTTTTAAGAAATAAAGGAAACAGATATCCATTTTTTTGTCTTTTGATTTTTTTTCGTAACATTGATTTCCTCGTGCCTGATTCTGATAAACCATGGTTACATGTCCCGAAAGCTCTGTTGACATTTGTCTTGACATGATGACATTACTGACCTGTTGGGTCTTACCCCGGGTGTTACAACAAGTATCCCCGCCCTGTAACTATGTTTACATCTGTTGACACGTGAACATTACTGACATGTTGGGTCTTACCCCGGGTGTTACAACAAGTGTCCCCGCTCTGTAAATATGTTTACATCTATTGACACGTGGACATTACTGACCTGTTGGGTAAATGTGTTATACATCTGTTGACACATGGACATTACTGACCTGTTGGGTCGGGTGTTACAACCAGTGTCCCCGCTCTGTAACTATGTTACATGGACATTAGTGTACAACAAGTGTCCCCGCTCTGTAAATATGTTTACATCTGTTGACACATGGACATTACTGACCTGTTGGGTCTTACCCCGGGTGTTACAACAAGTGTCCCCGCTCTGTAAATATGTTAACATCTATTGTCACGTGGACATTACTGACCTGTTGGGTCTTACACCGGGAGTAAAAACAAGTGTCCCCGCTCTGTAAATATGTTTACATCTGTTGACACATGGACATTACTGACCTGTTGGGTCTTACCCCGGGTGTTACAACCAGTGTCCCCGCTCTGTAACTATGTTAACATCTATTGACAGGTGGACATTACTGACCTGTTGGGTCTTACCCCGGGTGTTACAACCAGTGTCCCCGCTCTGTAACTATGTTAACATCTATTGACAGGTGGACATTACTGACCTGTTGGGTCCTACCCCGGGAGTTACAACAAATGTCCCCGCTCTGTAAATATGTTTACATCTGTTGACACATGGACATTACTGACCTGTTGGGTCTTACCCCGGGTGTTACAACAAGTGTCCCCGCTCTGTAAATATGTTTACATCTGTTGACACATGGACATTACTGACCTGTTGGGTCTTACCCCGGGTGTTACAACAAGTGTCCCCGCTCTGTAACTATGTTAACATCTGTTGACACATGGACATTCCTGACCTGTGGGGTATTACATCGGGTGTTGCACAAAGTATCCCCGCTCTGTAACTATGTTTACATCTGTTGGCTCGTGGACATTCCTGACCTGTTGGGTCTTACCCCGGGTGTCACAACAAGTGTCCCCGCTCTGTAACTATGTTTACATCTGTTGTCATATGGACATTCCTGACCTGCTGGGTCTTAGCCCGGGTGTTACAAAAAATCCCCCCTTTCTGTAACTATGTTTACATCTGTTGACACATGGAAATTCCTGACCTGTTTGGTCTTACCCGGGTTTGACAACAAGTATCCCCGCTCTGTAACTATATTTACATCTATTAACACGTGGACATTAATGACCTGGGAGACAGTTCCATTTTGATACAGATACTAGTAGTCAGGGGAACCCCAGCAGGTTAAGAAAAATAGACCTACGAGTTATACATTTAAAGAAAAAAATTGCCATTACAATACAGTCGAAGTGACGTTAATAAAGGTAGTTCGTGTTTTTCAGAAAGCTGAATAATTGGAGTGTTCTGTGCTATCGTGGATATGTCTTATGTGTTCTTGGGCACGAGTGCTTTGACGGTATTTAACGAACTTCCGGTTGACGTATGTTGTTTACTGATGTAACGAATGACTAAACGGTAAGGATAACCGGCCTGAAAATGGCAATGACTTCTGATAAACAAAACAAACAAACAAAATCTAAAGTGGCTATCTTTTCCTAATAACCATAGACGTACACATAAACGGCAATAGAGAATGGCAAAACATGTAACAGGGAATTAAAGGGACAGTATCAAGCTGGAAAACAACATCCTTCTCACAATACTTTAACATTCAATGGCTCGATTCCATGTACATACTACATTGATAATTACGTCACGTGACCGATAAACATTCTATGACGTCATAATATGTTCATCATCACGCGTGATTTCCAACCCATTGTTCCTGTTGCTACCGACAGCGACAGAGGAGGTGAGCTGTATAGAGGAAAACAAACCTGATTTCTATCGATCGTATGTACATACCTTCTTGTTTAAGGAATGATTACAGGTAAGCATCGTCAAACTTCTCCAGTTTAAATGTATAGAATTATTGGGAATATACGTCAGGTGGTCTGCCGATCGGTACCCACAGTTCTAGGATGCGGAGGTTCTGGATTCGAATAACAATCATCATCTGGTCTGTATTCCCCTTGACTTGTCATTCAATAAATAACTGAACGAAAATTATACCGATACATATGACTACAACCTTTGTGCATGTGGAATATATCGGTCCATAATACTTGAAAGATTATTTGGATTTTTCTCAGTAAAACACAAAAAATGGAAATATCTATATACATATCCACGTTTTCTCAAACGTTTCATATCTTGTTTGAACGATTTCTCGGGGTGATAGAGTAAGTGTCAATCACTGAAGGTGCAAATCATTTGTAGACCCGTCCAGGAGCATGTTTGTCGATCAAAAAATTAAATAAATAAAGATTGATGGTGTTTCGATTCGCACCGAATCGCATCCGCACCACCATTATAGCGTCACCATACTGACAATAAATTAGGATATCCCGCTCCACAATTACAGCCTCACCATACTGACAATAAATTAGGATATCCCGCTCCACCATTACAGCCTCAGTGTTCTAATGATTAATTAAGATACCAGCTCCATCGACACAGCCATTGATCGGTATTGATAAAATGGCGATATCAACAATATCTTATGATAATATTACAGATTATATAATGGACGAAAAAGGACTTCGAGAAATCGCAAAAAGTTTTGTCAACAGCGTTATACAAAAAGCCGTGGACAAAGTTCGGACGGAAAGAGAAAAAATGGCGGAAATGACGGATAATTTGGATCAGGATGTGGTAAATATAGTTGGTAAGGCTATCGGACGATCTGTTACGGCCATTCGTGAGGGACAAATATCACCAACTGACCGGAAAGTGGCTGAAATGATGGGTCAGCTGGATCATGATGTGGACAATATTGTTGGTAAGGCCATCGGACGATCTGTTAGGGCCATTCGTGAGGGACAAATATCACCAACTGACCGGAAAATGACCGAAATGTTGGATCAGGATGTGGACAATATAGTTGGTAAGGCCATCGGACGATCTGTTTCGGCCATTCGTGAGGGACATATATCGCCAACTGACCGGAAAGTGGCTGAAATGATGGGTCATTTGGATCAGGATGTAGACAATATTGTTGGTAAGGCCATCGGACGATCTGTTACGGCCATTCGTGAGGGACAAATATCACCAACTGACCGGAAAGTGGCCGAAATGTTGGATCAGGATGTGGACAATATAGTTGGTAAGGCCATCGGACGATCTGTTTCGGCCATTCGTGAGGGACAGACATCACCAACTGACCGGAAAGTGGCTGAAATGTTGGATCAGGATGTGGACAATATAGTTGGTAAGGCCATCGGACGATCTGTTACGGCCATTCGTGAGGGACAAATATCACCAACTGACCGAAAAGTGGCTGAAATGGTGGGTCAGTTGGATCAGGATGTGGACGATATTGTTGGTGAGACGATCGGACGATCTGTTACGGCCATTCGTGAGGGACAGACATCACCAACTGACCACAGGATAAAATGTAGTAAGGAAATACCGATGACAAATGGAACCGGAAATGATGTACAAAAACAGGAGGCCAAACAGACCTTCACAACAGATATAGGTACATATACAAACATATCCAATTCTGTCTATTGATGTGTGGTTAAATCTTTACATCTTTATCAAACAAGTTGTTGATCCTTAACATCTCATTTACCGTTATTCAACGAGAATGGAAAATATGGAATGATACCTGTAACTTATGTCGATATTATCAAATTTTAATAATTAAATTCCAACACTTAAAGAAAATTAAACTGTTACATATCTTGTATGACGAATTTGAACAAATAATGTAGATTTGTGCGGAAATTTTGTTCTCAGATCACAAGATGAAGAATCCGACAATCGTGTCTTCAGTTCAGAACAAGGTCTCTGGTAAAGGAAAGAAAAACATGTTGGAACGCTATCTGGATAGAATACTCGGAGTAAGTGTTTTTGTTCTGGAGATAATTCCGTGTGACAGAAATCTAAGAATATTGAAATTGAACGCCGAAATGCTTATACTGATTAATTTTACTTGTTTTCGTATTTCAGAGAGATAAGCAAAAACCAAAGAAGACCAACACAGGTAAACACACGTTTCGTGATATTTATATTTTAATTAAAACAAATTCATATTAAGAAAGAAAAATTACCTTAAAAATGACATTCATTTACACCGTATATCACGTAGGGTTATCATTATCTACCTGGGTATCAAGCTTTTGGTTTTTACCTTAAACAGAAGTGAACGATAGCGACCCTAGTGGAGGAAGTAGGAAACGTTCATCAAAGGCCCATAACAAACGAGACTGGATTCTAAAGCACATTCTGTGTTGTTTTGTCCATCAGACGTCGACAGTGGAGCCTGCAAACCACTAAACGTTCAATTGTTCTGGAGCCAACACAGTTTAGAACATTTATTTAGTTTACACACGAAAGGCCAGAAGATGCTGGAGGGAACTTTTACCTGTATGTGAAAAGTCCTTATTAGTTTTATCATTATTACATGCTGTTAATGCTGCTGTTGTATATCTGTACACGGAATACTTTCAGACCTACGTTTTAAAAAATAAAGGAAACAGATATCCATTTTTTCGTCTTTTGATTTTTTTTCGTAACATTGATTTCCTCGTACCTGATTATGATAAATATGGCCACATTTCACAAAAGTTTGAAGGATACCGCGAAAATGACGCCAAACTCGGTGTTCTGAACATCAGATACTTCTCTACAATTTACACATGCTTAAAACAAATATAATCATGTCACCTGTTTTGTACCAGATATAGATCAATACCAACATAAAAAATGTTGTCTTAAATATTCAAATTTAAACACGTATCTACAACAGAGAGATTCTATACATGCACGGATTTATGCCAGGCCGAAAAGACGGAAATCAAATCATTTGACATAAACTGATTTCCCAGAGTTACTTCCCTTTATCTGACTGTATGATTATTTTTACGCATTTTCTCTCCCTATACAATTCCAAGATTATTTGAACTTTCCGTTAATTGATAATCAGTTTACATCTCCAATATTACAGTTACACAGGGGTATGAACTCCACGTTCCATAGCTCACAAAATATATGGAGTTCAGATGTTCGATTACAAATGAACGACCGAAGATTAACCCGTTACTCATTATTGGATTAGATCTCAGTTCGATCTACGATGTACATTCCCTTTATCACGTGCTGGTAATGATAAATGACTCAGGGTCTATTTTCAACGGGGGTGAATTTTCAAACAGGTCAAATGTTTGCCAGAAACATTTTTTCAGTATGATATACAATTAAAAACACATTTCAAATATAGGCTTTTTTATGTGTGCAAACTGTAAAAATCAACAAAACACTGGTCATCATAAGTAATTAGTGTTATCTATACACACCGTATATATAGAAACTATATGTGTATCAGGTATGATATAAATAATAAAAAACCCAGGTCAATCAAGTTATACATCAATGACGTGTATGTGGTATTGTAGATGTGTTCTGCTATTTGTGTATGGCAAATAATGTTCACAAATGTCATTTACTGTCCTGTATGTACCTGATGCTTAGTACCCTCTACTTTCTACCCCTACCCCTACCCCTACCCTCTACTATCTACCCCATACCCCTATCCCTCCCCTCTACTTTCTAACCCATACCTCCTACCCCTACACTCTACTATCTACCCCATACCCCTATCCCTACCCTCTACTTTCTAACTCATACCCCCTATCCTCTACTTTCTATCCCATACCCCCTACCCTCTACTTTCTACCCCTACCCCTACCCCTACCCTCTACTTTCTACCCCTACCCCTACCCTCTACTATCTACCCCATACCCCTATCTCTCCTCTCTACTTTCTAACCCATGCCTCGTACCCCTAACCTCTACTTTCTAACCAATACCCCCTACCCTCTACTATCTACCCCATACCCCCTACCCCCTATCCCATACCCCCTACCCTCTACTTTCTAACCCCTACCCCCTACCCTCTACTTTCTATCCCATACCCCCTACCCTCTACTTTCTACCCCCTACCCCTTCCCCTACCTTCTGCTTTCTACCCTCTACCACATTCCGCTAACCCCCTACTCCATATACTCTTCCAAAGTTGGTTACTTATGGGGCCAGTAATTTCTTGTGATTAAATTTCTTCACTTTAGTTTTTGTTCGCGTGGCTTACCGCCCACACCCCTGTAAAATTGGCGAATTATTAATGTAGTTCAAGTTTCATTTGTGATACATAAAATGTAGGAGTCTTGTAGCGCTCACCTGTTTCTTTATAAAAAAGTAGAAACATTTCTTTACATGTTACCTATAATCAGTTTGAACTTCTTACATTTCATAACCTGTAACTTTATGTCTGACACTTATATCCCAATTTTAGTTAAGGATTTCAGACCTAATAAATTTGATAATTATCGCAAATTGAATGATTTTGTCCAACTTTGAATCAATTTCATTCAAGCGTGTGGTGTATGACTACATCAAAAGTTCATTACCCTCTAAAAACAAAGTTAAACTCCAAATGGTGCTGAAAATTCAAAATGCCCAAATGACCTCAGGAACACTATCAAAAGTGAGTGTGTCCTCCATTGGCTCAAATAATGGTGCGACGTCGGCTTGGCATGCTGCGAATCAAACACAGTGGAATTGGTGGCCATTCTTGACGAAGTGCACCAGCAAGCTCCTGGTCGTTTGACAGCAAGCCGCGGGCGATCGGTAGTACTTTGCCGCAACAGGTTCGACGCATGCTCGATCGAGTTAAGGTCGGGTGGAAGACTAGTCTGTACGATCGATACTGTGTACTTGTTGGTACTTGGTCAAAAGGCTAGCTTTTTCTCGTCGAGCATTGTCGACAACACCCGCAAAGCATCATACAATTTGATGGAGGTTTCATCCCGGTACCGTAAACATGTGAGACTACCACCTTCAATTATGTACAAGTCAGTCCGACCACAAAAACTGATCCCTGCCCAAAACATTTACGGGTCCACCAAGGGAAACGGCCCAGCTCAGTAACCCAGCAGTCAGCTTATCCCTCACCCACCCCAAAATAGTGAAATGCCATGAAGTTGAATCGCTGATTCTTTTGGTTGATTGTCTACTTTAAGTGGCATTTTGTATCGTGGAGATTACAAATCAATAGAGAGGTAGAGACAAATGTGTTTGTATAATTACCACGCGTAAAACATTGTCACAGGTTCCTGTGTAAACAATCGTCAAGCGATTCAAATGTAAAGGAAACGTAATCTGATGGACAGATTTCTTAACATTCATATTGACTGGTTACCATATTTCATGTAGAGTTTGAGATAAAACTCTAACATACAGATTATCATTTGAAGTTTTTTTGTTACTAATTGTCCATTTTTTAAAATTCAAACTGCCCTTGTACTAATTCTGTGAAATTGTACATATTTTTTTTATTCGACTTAACAATCAGAACAAGGAAAACACATGTACGTGTCAAAGACAAAAATTACATTCTGGTAAGATGAAAAGCGCTGGCAAGGAGCCTTTTTATTTTATCAAAATGCATCCATTTAGTTTGATGTCGAGGAAAGTCAGAGAACAGATGGCTTTATTAATCTGTTACAGAAGTGGGAGAGTCAGGCTCCTGCGCTACAAGAAATAAATAAAGGTTATTATATATGCAAGAATTTCTTGATAAGACGATTCCGATAAAACTGTCAAAATGGCAAGGAAATAACTGGACCTATTCGAGCAATTAAATTCGAGTGATTCTTGAATCAAATAGAGAATCTATTTTCATTCTTTGTTTCATTGTCACGTGTTCAAATTAATTTATTTGCATATTATATTCTATATGCCAAATTAAACCAATGCGACATATAGGTATGTATATATATTTTATTCAAACAAGTCAACCGTGTGTTAATTGTGTGTGTCATGCTACTCGCTGATAAAGACTAGATTTTAGTAAGGCTTGCGTTTAAAAAAGTCATTATTTCATAATTATTGTTATTACCTCTGCAGCTATTACTGTACACTATAGGTATAACGAGATGATTGTTCAGATCAGGGGGCTGTCAGCTTATAACCGAGATCATGAAAGACATGACTATGTGAAGCGAGGGTATAAAGTTTGCAGTGTGTATCTTCCATGTTGTGACAGGTTGTCTGTAGATATAAGATGGGGTTTTCTTTTAGCGCTATCGATAAAGTTGTCAAGACAATGGAATTATGAGAACTTTGTTCTTGATGACAATGAAATATTTCTACGTAAACTGTATATATAGGATGTATTTTACGCATCACAATGTTTGATATATATATCAAGGTTATTTATGCGGTTTGAAAGTATTGTAAGTGATATGTGAAAATGATACACATCTTTGGGAGTAGAAAAGTGTCCGGACGGTCCTTCTCCGGACTGGAATGTTCTGAAACAAAATAGTGAATCAAAGTTTAACTAGAACATGGTCAGTATACCGTGACCAGTGTCACAGCTGAGAGGCCAAAGTCATCGAATATAAGTAAATATTATACATAAATGTTTATCCAGAAGCTTTCCGTGGTCTCACACTTACTTTCCTTGGTTTGTAAATATTATTTAACGGTCTATATCAATATCGACCAGGTGTGAATCTACCGTCGATCATTTAGTCGTTACCGACAGGCTCATGCAGTGGTCGTTTAGGGTATTACAACCATGGATAGTGTCTATTTGAAGACAGCAATACTTGGTTGATATAAAAGTTTGGCCATTGATTGTGTTGTTGATAGAGTGTATCACGGTCCTACCAAGGACAGGTGAAATTGTGTTGTTGATAGAGTGTATCACGGTCCTACTAAGGACAGGTGAAATTGTGTTGTTGACAGAGTGTATGGTGGTCCTACCAAGGACAGGTAAAATTGTGTTGTTGATGGAGTGTATGGTGGTCCGACCAAGGACAGGCGAAATTGTGTTGTTGATAGAGTGTATCACGGTCCTACCAAGGACAGGCGAAATTGTGTTGTTGATAGAGTGTGTAACGGTCCTACCAAGGACAGGTGAAATTGTGTTGTTGATAGGGTGTATGGTAGTCCTACCAAGGACAGGTGAAATTGTGTTGTTGATAGGGTGTATGGTAGTCCTACCAAGGACAAGTGAAATTGTGTTGTTGATAGGGTGTATGGTGGTCCGACCAAGGACAGTCGAAATTTTGTTGTTGATAGAGTGTATAACGGTCCTACCAAGGACAGGTGAAATTGTGTTGTTGATAGGGTGTATGGTAGTCCTACAAAGGACAGTCGAAATTTTGTTGTTGATAGAGTGTATAACGGTCCTACCAAGGACAGGTGAAATTGTGTTGTTGACAGAGTGTATAACGGTCCTACCAAGGACAGGTGAAATTGTGTTGTTGATAG